ATCTCCCCAGTCCCTCATGTATGGAGATTCTTAGCTTTTCTGTCAGTGTTAGCTTTCAGGATAGGTCACAGTCTTGCTTGACAATATAGTTTCTTATAGAAGCATGGGAATATCTGCGGATATCACTCAGCAGTCTAAGCACTTCCCTGGCAAGTGCAAGGACCTGGATTTGATCCCTGGTACCATATGCCATGTGGGCCCTGGAAAACTGGGTGCCTCATGCCAGCCAATGAAACTGGGTATGGTAGTACATGACTGTAATCCCAGTGCTTAGGAGGCTGAGACAGGAGGTTCACTATGAGTCTGAGCTGTGTAGTGAAATCCTGTACCAAATAAATATTTTTAAAAAACCTAAAAACAAAAAGAAACATGAGAGACATTCTTGGTAACCCTCCTTTTTAGCACATTACATGTTAGTTGACTCTTGTCTTTTTGGAATTGAACAATTTATTTGTTCGAGAGGTTGGGTGACTCACCAGAGTTGTAGTATCTTGTAGAAGGGTCCTGTCATTGTTTGGGGCTTTACAAGGGAACAATATAATACAGGATACATATTTTATAAGATTATTTACAAGAGTCAACCAAAAAATCATTTACAAAAAAGAGTGCAGGAAATCTGTCCACACATTAAATACCAAAGAATCCGGCTAAGAACCATGATAATGTCCAACATGAGTCCATCTGAAGACCTAGAGCTCATAACAGTGCTCCCCACAAGTCCACCTGAAGGCCTAGAACCCACAACAATGTCTTATACAGGCCTGTTTCACAGATCTGTGCTGCAAAGGCCCAAAGGTTAGTGGTGGAAGCTAGAAAATCTGTGCCAGCAGGATGAAGGATCTGTGATAGCAGGCTGAGGAATCTGAACTGGAGCTAGGAAGCAATGCTCAAAAAAAGAATTACTGCTCCCCCCAAAATACCACAGCCATCCTTAGCAACAGTGAGGTCCCAAGCTTCTCCAGTGATGAGAAAAGCTGAGTTCCCATCAGGAAAGCCAATATGATAAGCCTCTCCCGGGGCTGAGCAGTGCACCATCTTCCCCTCCAGAACCAGGAAGCAATGCTCAAGGTGAGGACCAGAGCTCCCCAAAACTGAACTATAGCCATTCTCAGCAACAATCAGGTCCCAAGCTCCTCCTCTGACAAAAACAGCCAAGTTCATCAGGAAATCCAGCATGGACAGTTCCTCCAGCAGAACAGCTCAAGAGAACCAGCACCCTAACAACCTCTCAATAGCTTCTCTAGTTCTGCCTCTTATGCTGCTGGCAACAATCCTCAGGTGGGCCTCCCACACCTAGCACCATGCTAGTTCAATTCAGCTGGATGAAATAAGTTGACCACCAGTGAGCAATCCACCTCAGGTCTTCTCATGCCTTGGGTCTTTGTTGACCTTGGAAGGTCAAGGCCAAAATATTGTCTGCCTTCTTAGCCCAGTTATCTTCTTAGCTTTGGCCTCTAAACCTCAGATGTTGAACATCTAGGAGATCAGTTATACTGTTACACCAGTATTGCAGCATGAGCAGCTGGTTTAAATATAGTCTTATCTGGACATCATGACCAGAGAACTTTTTTTTCAATCAATTATGGTTGTTTTATGTCATAATTTTTGTGACATTGTTAACAGATAGATTGTTAACAGATAACAATTATAAGATTTTACAGAGAGGATTTGAGCTCAAGAGCAACATAGCATTTTACCATAACAATCACGATGACATTATCACATTGTAAGGATCCATGAGTCTCAGTGTGATCTGTTCTACCCAGGGAGAAACAGTGGCAGGAATGAGGAAAAGTTAGACAAGAAGACAAGATGGGCTAGGTGGTGAGTCATCTGCCTGGCAGGCAAGATGACTACCCCCAAGCAACAACACAGACATTTATTTATATCTTTGCAAAGTTAGTAACATGTGACACAAGGGTGACTAAAACTGACATTAATCAGTCAAGACGCTTGTCTCAGGACTGAGCTGGCCTGTCTGCTTCAGGCACTGCGGCCTAGTCCCACTTACACATTTGCCCAATTTTCTAGCTTCCATGGCTCCCAAGATTACATGAGCGCCATTAGGTTTTGTTATTATCTCTGAAATACATCTAAATTTCCATTTTATTATAAAATATCTTTTAAGCTAATTATCTTTATCTAACTACAAGATATTAAATGACATAAAGGAACTTTTACCTATTTGTCATCTTTTAATAGAGTACCATTTAAATAGAATGCATTTGTTCATAGGTGTATTTATAGGTTATTAATACCTAACCTTTAATTTTTTTGAGTGACTAGCCTGGACTTCATAGTGTTTAGGTAACTTTGTTATAACACAATTAAAAGATAATCGCATAAATATTAATGTGAAAAGGTATCTATCATCTGGTTGGCTATATTATGTTGTCTTGGCATGTACATTTTATCACAGATAGCTAGAAAACAAGAGATTGGTAAGGTCAAAAAAAGGTTTTTAAACAAAGCCACTGTAGGTATTTTAATCAGTTATTAACAAAGATTAAACATGCAGATGAACAAACAAAAACATACAAAACAATTATTTTTATATCAGCATGCACTCTTAGAGGTATCTTTTTTGGTGGTACCAGGGATCAAACTCAGGACCTTGCACTTGCCAGGCAAGCACTTATTCCACTGAGCTATCTCTCCAGCTCTCTCTTAGAGGTATCGACTAATCCTTTTATAGTTTTTAGGTTTATAACTATACATAGACAAGTCAGAATTTTTTTACAGGTCTTCGATTAACAGAAATCTCTTGTGATAAATTAACACCAACAAGAATCAGAAAGGTAGGCTCGCAAGATAGCTCAGCTGACTAAAGTGCCTGCTTAGGCAAGCGCAGCAACCGCGGTTCAATTGCAGGCACCACATGCAGTGCCAGCCCTGCCTCCAGGGTGGCTGAGCCAGCCGGAGTCTGGGAGTAGAGGTGCATGCCTGTAATCCCAGCACTGGGGAGGTTGAAAGCAGAGGATTGCCACAAGTCCAAGCTGCATAGTGGGACCTTGCGACGACCAAATACATTAAAATTAAAAAAAAAAAAAAAAAAAGAGAAGAATCAGAAGGGCAAAGATAGGGCCAGCCAAATAGATCAGCAGATTAAAGCACCTGCAAGCAGGTGCAGGGGCCAGGGGTTCAATCCCCAAGCCTGCAGTGCTGGCCCTGCCCCCAGGGTGCACTGAGATGACAATTGAGACTAGGTGTGGCGGCACGCACTTGTAATTCCAGCTCTTGGGAAGCTGTAAACAGGCGGATCACTATGAGTCTGATCTAGTAGTGGGACCCTTAACACCCTGTAGACCCTTCCCTAAAAAATAAAATAAAATAAAAAAGGAAGGGCAAAGAAGAAGAAAAAAACTTTTTTATACTGTGAAAGCAAGGACTATTTTTAAGAAGAGCCCTAGGCTGATGATTTATCATAAAAATTTTGGAGTAGCTATACAGGATTTTTGGAGCCTTCTGTTGTTCTGGTAGCCATAGCTGACAGCCATAGCTACTGTTTTGATAGCCACATTTAAGGTCCCTCTAAAGGTGCAAATGGGGCAGGGGAGATAGCTCAGCAGAATAAGTGCTTGCCTGGCATGCACAAGGTCCTGATTTCAATACCCAGTACCACCAAAAAAAAAAAAAAAAAAAAAAGATATTTTTTTAACTAATGAAATCAGTGCTGTAATAATAAAGGGGCAGACTACTAAAGATAGCATATTGTAATTTTTGTATTCTTTTAGCAACTATTTCATTGTTAGGGGAGCTCAGGCAAGATTTGGGTATAGAAAGGAACCAGGTGACACTTTTTGGAGAAAAGTATTTGTTTTTAAAGGCAGAAGAAGGTCTGCCAAGGCCTCAATCTGTGCTGGTTCGGATGCCTACCTATGAAAGGTTATGTTTTGCTTTTTTCTATATTGAAAAGAAACCAAGGTGCCCTAGAAGTGTCAGTTGGGCCAAGGGGGCAAGAAGCCCATGTAGCCGCCTTTCTGTGTCTCTTAATGAAACATTTTCTGTAGTCCAGCCATATATCTACTCTCCTCTGGTGCAAGCGTGGTAGCTATCAACAACAAAACCAAGCAAGCTACGAATCTGTTGAAGGGCCATTTGATGTATGCAGTTAGAGAGGAGGTGGAAGTCCTTAAAGAGCAAATCAAAGAACTAATAGAGAAAAATTCCCAGTTGGAAAAGGAAAACAATCTGCTGAAGACACTGGCCAGTCCAGAGCAGCTCGCCCAGTTTCAGGCCCAGCTGCAGACTGGCTCCCCGCCTGCCACCACACAGCCACAGGGGAGCACACAGCCCCATGCCCAGCCTGCGTCCCAGGGCTCAGGACCAACTGCACAGGCAGATGTATCCCAATGGAACTGGCTGCTGCTATCTGATCTGAACAGACGGAGAAGATATACTAGGGAGAATCCACGCCCACAGTCACCCATTTCATTGCTGGCTGCAAAAGAGACGTGAGACTTACATATACTATTATCTCTTTTCTCCAGTATTAAGCACTCTTAATCTTTTGGGTTGAAGAAACTTAGCTGGGTGAATTAAAGGCTAATCAGAGAATTAGCTTGGATGTGCCCTGTGCAGGTTGGCAGATACCAGAGGAATGGCTTCACTGCCGAGAGCTGAGGGCCTTTGCATCCTTTCCTTGCTGTCCACCCCACTTCCAAGAGTGCACTCTCTTGCTTGCACATACTTTACCGCATGGTGTCAGGAAGCAGGGGAGCTCCTCCCTGGGCTCTGCTCTCTCCTCTCCTCCCAAGGTGAAGAACTTCTAAGGGAGGCAAGAGACAAGACAAATGAGGGGAATGCAGTTTATTATACGGATTGATGACTGTCACTCAAATACATTTTTAAAAAGTACTCTGCCTTTTTTTGTGAAACAGCAGATGACACAAAACATTAGTGGGAAAATGGTGACAGGTAGCTGGAATCTAGGCTATCTTACTATCGAGGTTGTCTTGTTTATTGTATATTTGTGTATGTAGTGTAACTTTTGTACAATAGAGGACTGTAACTACTATTTAGGTTGTACAGATTGAAATTTACATGTTTCATTGGATGTTTGAAGAGGTGTGGGTTTTCTTTTATATAGAGATTACATGAAAAATGCTATCTAAACCACACCTAAAGAAATTTTAAGAATTTGGCACAGTCAGTCATTTGGCGTAATCTGAAATGTAGCTGCTGAGTATCTAAAGTAAATCCCTGTTCTTTGAAGTTTTTTGATTGAGCTGGTTGAATACTTTGAAAAGTGATCACTTCTAATGAATTGATTTACCAGTAGGATTCTGCATATTATCTGTTTGGTAGTCATGTGGCTATGTTTCTGTGCGTGTTTGCTACACAGTTGTAAGGTGTCCCTGTATATAACTGTTGTACTTTTCAACTTTCAATAAAGCATATAAAATGTTGATTAAAAAGAAAGAAAAGAAACCAAAAGCAGTGCCTCTGATTTTTCCTGCTTGTTTTGTATCTTTAAGGCCTCTCCTAGGTTTGATCCTGACGAATGCCAGTGACAGAAAACTGGAGGTGCTTGAGGAAGTGAGCAGAACTGGATTATCCGTCATTATCATGTGCCTCGGCTCTTTCTTTGTGATCCTGTGACCCCTTCGCTACAGGCTTTTTCTTTTATGTCCTCAGTTAACATAGCTCTGGGTATAGAACAGTTGCTGGAATGGCAACATATATTGGAAAGAAATCAGCAAGAGAGAAGAGACGGGACTATGGCTATCTCTCTATACCTCTTTTTGTGGAAAATGGTTATAAAACTTGTGAGGGTCTCTAGGAATTTTGTTTTGTTTTATTCATGAAATCAGTACTGTAATGTCCCTACTGTAATCCAGTCCATCTGCCATGTCAGAGCAGCATTTTTGAGAGAAGGAAGTGAAAGGAGTGAAGATATTTCCTAGTTCCCAGTTTTGTCCTAGAGGCAGAAAAGCAGACAAATTTGAACTAAACCTTTTATTTATTTATTGGGAGTTTGAAGCTTAAGTCTAGACCAATTTTCAAGAGTGTGGTCCATAATTCAGAGGGAATAGTGAAGGCTTTACTCTGAAGCCCAACAGTGAAGGGTCACAGAGAGCGGGATTTCCCAAATCCTGTAAAGATGGAAACCTGGTCACTCAACAGTCCTGGAATACGGCAGCCTTGGGGAGGAGAATTCCTATTCAAGATGCTGCAGCTGTAAAGTGCATTATTTTGTAAGGGAGAGGCAAAGAAACTAGCTCCCTTCACCTACTGTTCTGGCACCTACCCTTCTGGGTGGAATTATTCGGTGTGTTTCTTCACCCTGGCTGTCTAGCCAGCAGACATATTTTCTCAGTTCCCGTGAGCCCTGGATATCACTATTGCTTGGCTGGCCTCTGCAACACAGTCTAGCTCCTTCAGCCTGACTTGGGCTTCCACTGTCTTCCTCTGCCTGGGAGTCACTTCTCTCCTCCGGAGCCCCCACAGCCCACCTCCCCCAGGACCACTGTGCCCACCACTCTGTGCCCCTCCACCCTGCCTGCACCCTCCCCCACAAGGTCCTGCCCCTGAACTGCCCACCCCAGCTATCTCCCATAACCCTAGGTGCAGCCTCCTCTCAGCTCACCTCCAACACACATCTCCATCAAGACTCGGATTCCTTCATCCAGAATCATGCTTTTCCAGCCTGCCAGGGCTGCCCCCTGGGCCCAATGGGTCACTGCAGTGGGCACCCTCAGATTTCTTCCCAAGTCCTGTTGTACTCCCTGCCCCAGGACACTCCACCAGCCAGGGCTCCCCACCCTCTGACCTCAGGTGCCTTTAGGACCCCTCCCTTCCTTCTGGGCTCTCCTGGGTCCCTGGTTCCTTCTCTGTTCTCCTCCCCCAGCTCCAGTCCCGTTCCTCTCTCCAAGGGTCCCTCTGCCTGTCCTCAGGACTCAACCCCCAAGCTGTGGCTTGTCCAGGGTGTCTCCATCTCTCCTAGGATCCTCTGGTCCCTTCTTGGGTCTCTCTGTGCCTCCACCGGCCTCTCTGCCACACCAAGAGTCCATCTGTTTCTCTTCTGGTCCCTCAATCCACCTGAGTGTCCCAGGGTCCTGGCTCAGTTACCCCCACCTTGCTTGGGTCCTCTCCACCCCCAGCCTCCTCATGTCCTTGGTCTCCTGGGTCCTTTCCACCAGACCTCGGGTCCCTCTGTTTCTCCTTGGTATGCTCCATCCATCAAGGTATCCCACACACCAGGCTCCTTCTCTCAGGCCCTCTTTGTCTCCACTCCCCTTCGGGTCCCCATGGGCCTCTCTTTTCTTCCCATTCCACCCTTCCAGGGCCCCAGATCTCCCAGGGGTCTCTGCGGTGCTTTTGCTGGACTCCTTCTCATTCAACACATCCCTAGGCTGTGCAAGTGCCCTGTCCCGCACGTTGTCACAGCATACCTTTGTTGATGTAAAAAGAAAGATTTGCTTTTTTATGGATGAAGGTTGGAATTATATATCCAGTGGACAGCCTCTTCTGGTTTTTGTGTACCTATGTTCTCACCATTTGCCTACCACCCTTTTGATATATAGGCTTCTCCTTTGCAATGGGAAGTCTTTGGACTATAAATAAATCAGTGTTGTGTGATGAGTGAACCTCGTTCTCCTCAGTTTCTCTTGAGTCTTTGTCCCTGGACGTTTCTGTGAGGTGTTAGGTGATCTTTTTAAAGGAAGCCAAATATTTTAATCCCTTTATGGCAAAGTCAAAAGACCATACTTTAACAAAACTATTCAAATTGCTTGTGGTATTAGTTCTGACCCTTCCTTCTATGACCAGCCTCCTCAACCAACGCAATTGTTCTTTTGGCAGGCAAATACTTATTCCACTGAGCTATCTCCCCAGCCTGCAACTGTTCTTTTGAACAATCCACTTGGTCCTTATTACCAGAGCCCATCGCCTTCCTTCATAGGATGATGAAACATGTCAAGCCATTAGGAATCTGGGCACCAGGGTGAGGTATCAGATGGGGAGGTACATGGATTGCCTTCAGGAGCTGAGTGTGATGCTTGTGCTTTGGAGAAAGGTGAGGTCACACCCAGCAATCATTTGTTGTGGAAGAATGGAGGAGCATACAGTGCTTGCCTGGTGAGCTCCCCATCTCACTTCAATTGAGAGGGTTGTTTGCAAGCAACCAATTCAGATTTTATGAGAATGGCAAGACATGTATCCTGGGGATGTCAGTCACTGTCATGGGAAAACCTGACAGTGGGAAAACTTGGCTCATTGGCTAGGATCAATCTGGCCTTTGCCTATCCTAAGGCATCATTGCTGGGGTTACATGTACACATGCTGGCTAGTCAAAGGCCCCATGCTTGTGTCGGTTGAAAATGGTGTGACACTTGAGATCAATGATGTAGTGTGCCTAAGGAAAGTCACATGGAGAGAAAACATTCTTTCAGGCTTTCACAGAGAGCACATTGGTCAAGCAATGGCCATGACTCATCCACATGGCTGACACTGACAAAAGGTCCTACAATCTGAGGTACAGATCTCAGGATAAATCCTGAGGGAATTTTACTGACCTTATCAGACCCAAAACTACAACTCTTGTTGCATAGGCCCTGCTTTACCTTGGTATTAACCACCCAGCAGAAAAGTATAAAAACGAAATATAAGAAGTAAAGCCATGCTGTTAGGTTGAGCTGTAGGGGACTCACGTCAACAATTTCTGACATTGCCAGTCAAGCAGAAGACCCAATACTATTATGGGCTACTGGACTCTTTTAGAATATTATGCTGAGTTTACACACCTATAATATTGAAATAATGGAACTTAACAAAAAAAAAGGGCATACAGATGAATGCCCATTTTATATCTGTGTATTCAAAGTGGTTAGGATAGATATATAGTTACATACTCTTAGTGAATAGAGTGATTTGTTCTAATGGTATTTGTAAATAGGATATCATGTCCGCATCTTGTACAGCAATTAACTACTAGAAAGAATGTATGCAATGTGTTAAATATTGAAACTGTCCTACCAATTTTATTTGAAACTGACTCACTGCTATTTGTTTATCAATAAAATTATGGGAAAAAAAAGAAAATGATATGACACTTGAGAGGCTCTTTTTGGGACATTTCTAAGACATGTGGGCTTGATTCCTGGGAATGAGAGTCTCATTCGGCTTTCAGGCATAGCTGTGGTCTTCTGGTTAATAATTGGCTTTCCATATTATGCTCCCATCCCACCCTGAAAAACAATCCATATATGGAGACTTGGATGGTAAGTCTGAAGAACTAACTGAGGCCTGGGGTATCTCACCTCCTCTTTGCATGCATCTACGGAATGCATAGCAGGATGGTGGGTTGGAATTAGGAACCTGTTGGGTTAGGGTGGCAAAGTGCTAGGTTCATCTTCAGTCCTTGGTGAGGTATGACACTGTGGTGGATACTATAGCATTGCCAAGCAGAGACTTAAGCCAATAAGCAAGAGATCTGAACAGACTATTTTTAAAAAACTTTTTAGAGAGCTAGAGAAAGAAGTGCAAAGGACAGACTGAAGATGTGAAGCTGTATTGTTTTGGGCTCATGAATATATGTGGTTTGGGAAATAGCTGTCTCTTGTGTCAACCACAGTTCAGTTTTCTCTGTGTCTCAGGCTCATGAATATATGTGCTTTGGGAGACAGCTATTTCTTATGTCATCCACAAGTCAGTTTTCACTGTGTCTCAGGATGAGGGTCTTTCTGTGGCATGTGGGACCCCTGTCCAGACATTGGGCCATCCTTACCCTTACACCATGTCTTTTTGGAAGAGCATGATTTTCATTTCCTTTTTAACTCAGATATGGAAGTATGTGGTCTAAAAGGAATGCTTATCTTCGATGTCCTTAAATGTGAACAATCATCGTTTTCAAGGGTTCACAAGACTTTCATTGGAAAGGGAAAAGATAGCAAGGCTGCAAAAAGAAACACAAAAACATTACCATTTCTTGATACTGATAACAACATTCCTACAGAGATAAACTGTTCCACATTGCTACACACTTGTGGGTGCTGGAGTCTCCTCTAAGGAATAGCTTCTAGGTTTTTTCTGTCCTGAACAAAGAGTTATCAAAACAGGCATAAACAGTAGCCAACTTTTATGTTTATTAAAGGTAGGGGAAAAAACATGCTTTGCAGAGTGAGTTTGGGCCAAGAGAAAGTGAGCAAAAGGGGACACTCTTCAGAATGAGAGGGTACTACTGTGAAACAACATGGTAGAGCAGAGCCAGTGGTGACTCTTTATGCCTCCCGTTTCGCCGGCTGATTGCAGGTCTAGGCTGTCCCATTTACAGTTCTTGAGAGAAGTGCATTTGTCATTCACAAGCCATGCCTACTTCCCCAGTCAGCTGTACCATGCCCTGTTTCCTGCCTCAGTAGCCTCCAGCTGAAATTTTAGACACACCCCAAAGCATGAAGTATTACCCCCCAATAAAATTCTAAAATACTGTCTTGATAAGAGATTAAATCTACTCATAACCTCCAAGGAAGTGAAGGGAGAAATACAAGATGCGGTTTGCAAAATAAAAGATGTTCTATCAAAGAAACCCTTTATATAAAAGGCATCATGATTTTTCTATGCTCTCAAATCTATCATATTTTAATAAGTCACAAGCAACCAATAAACAAGGGATGAAAATTTTCAATTACATAAATGAGTCACAATTCAGAATTACATTTTAGGGATACCATGAAACAAAGGCAAACCTTCCAATTATCTAGGTGGAACCTCCAATAATGATGTAGGAAAATATAACTCCAGACCTATTGGATGTTAAATGTGTCAAGTTGGACATTCTCCCAAGAATTAACTTGTGAGCCACGGGAGGAAGTCTGGAGAGTTTTATTAGAAATAAGGGAAGAAGAATAGCTCCAGGATTTCCAGGAGGGGTCCCAAATAGATGACCACTGAGGGCCTTTGCCAGGGGTAATTCATACAGCAAAATCAAAATGAGGGTACAACAAGTATAGGACTGTGATCAACCTATGGGATTACAAGTAGAGCCACTTAGCTAATAGTGATCCAATAGGCAAAGAAGACAGACATATAACAAGAACATGGCATGGAAAAAACAAAGGCAGAAAGGAAGGGCACCAAAGGTACACAAAGATGTTCTGGGCTCTCCCCTATGAGTCTGATGCCTATCTGGACTCAGTACACCAAGTGGTACTAATTATTGTACAGTCTTAAATTGTTGTCTATCTCAAGAAGGCAAACAGGCTTTGCTATTGCTTTTCCATCCTAAGCTCTTGTTCTCTTCAGATTTGCCTCCAGCCACAATTCTGATGTCTTTATTTTCTGCACCTCTTTTGGAGGGCCCAATCTTTCTTGCATGTTTTTAATCTAATTTAGCTGCCTAAAGTACACACACACACACACACACACACACACACACACAAACAGGATATAGTAAGTTCCTTTAGGGCATAACTGCTACAGTTGAGTGGGCCAAAAATAGTTCAGGTATTTCTGTGGGACAAGGAAAGGATTGCTAAGTGTACCCATGAGAGTATGTAGTAAGTAGCTACCTTTATTGAAAATCATGGGACAGTAGCAGGAACAAGAAGAAGGATGAAAGGACTGGATAACTCAGGTTTCCATTATTTATGGGGTCAGACACATCTGATCTAAGGTCCCCCCCCCACTGTCGTTCTCACTGATGTTGATAATCTGCTGCTTCTGGCATTGTGACCTCCTAAATTTAAACCTTGATAATCATTAGGGTGGTGGTGTACTGTGGTTGAAAGGAATAGCTCACACAATTTCACTGTTTCTAACTGTGCTGCCTCTTTCTAGGATTATGGAAGCACGGATAATTACTACAGTGGTGTGGAATTTATGGTGGAACCAAGGGGAGGGAGTGACTCAGCTCCTTTTTTTTTAATTGTACTACTAAAAAGAAAAGTCAGGACCTTAAGGTGCTCAGCCATGTTTTTACCAGTCCCCACTTCCTGCCTCCAGATACAAGGATCCAAACCCTCTCCCAACTGACAATGTTCTGTGCTTACCCTGCAACCACAAGAAGTTTCATGTAACTTGTGTTTCTGTCACATTTCTAAATTCAGGATATAACACCTTCAGACTTCAGCTTTTGCAAAATCCCACTTTGTTCCACCCACCCAGCCTAAGCTAAACTATAGTATAGCATAATACCTCCCTGACCCTACTAGTTGTTGCCCAGAATTTAGAGTGCACAGCTCCTCCAGGTTGGCAGGCATGATACATAGCTTGGCTTCCCCTACCTCTTGGAGTGCCCACTGGGTTTCTTGCTCCACCAACAAGAAATCTGAAATTTCTGAAATTCCTACAACACTAGAACTATGACATACTTTTTGCTTTGTGCCTGCAAAGCACAGTGGCAAAGGCTAAGTTCAGTAAATTGTGCTAAGGAAGTTGAGGGACATCTCCATAAAGCCTATTCTCAGAGCCTTGGGAGATGACAGGTGCAGCATTGGAAAGCAGGACAGAAAGACGAGTAACGGACCCTTCACAAACACTGGAGGAGAGCAAAGCCCTCACCTCCCTAGTTCAGCGGCACAGCCTCCTGCCTGGCAAGCGCAAGGTCCTGAGTTCAATTTCCGGTACTAAACAAAACAAAACAAAATCACCCAAACCTTCAAGCTACACTCGCACGCGCATGCCTGGTGGGAAGCGCCCAACACACCATCTGGGTGAAACTGGAGCAGCCGGAACCTTAGTCCTCAGCCACACGTTTCCCACGGCTCGGTTCCTATCGCTGCACCCCGAGACGACCCCACCCCCACTCCCTCAGCCCCCACCCCCAACCCCTTGGCCTACCTCGACCGCAGGTTCTCGAGTTTGACAAATCTCAACTCGCGACACCTCCAACGACTGGGGGCGTATTCTCCAGGTGGCCTCCTCCCGGCGAGGTCCCCCAAGTCCCCGGGGGTGGGGTGGGGAGTGGGGAGGGACGTCCTGTCTGGCGCGCGGCCAGCCCCAACCCCCGCCTCCCGCTCGCTCCGCCCAGCCCCGAAGCCGCGGGCCCCTCGGCCGGCGGGCGCTGCGCTCTCCTCCGCGCTTCGCGCAGCGCGGACCCCAGGCCTTGCTGCGGCGGCCCCCGAGACGTCTGTTCCGTGGAGGAGCCCCAGGGGAAGCAGGCAGCTGGGGAAGCCGCGGAGGTGGCCCCGTACGCCGGGGACTCGGATCGGCGCGGCGGCCGCGAAGTTAGGTGTGGGGCGCTGAGTGAGCGAGTTGGGGTCCCAGTCGGGTCAGCCAGGCCCCGAGTCCGCATCGCAGCAGATCAGAAGAGGGGAGACCGAGCCGGGAGTCATGGCCACACCGTTCCTCACCGCGGAGGCCGTCACGGATCACAGTGGTGGAGAGCTGACCTCCGGGGATGACTCTGGCGACGCGGAATCGCCCCAGACCCCCAAGACCGAGGCGTCCGGGAGCCTGACGGAGCTGTTTGAGAAGGCGGCCGCACACCTCCAAGGCCTGATTCAGGTGGCCAGCAGGGAGCAGCTGCTGTACCTGTACGCCAGGTACAAGCAGGTAAAGTCGTGAAGGAGTGGGCGAGACAGGGGCCGAGTGGATGCCGTAGAGGCGCGGGCCCTCCGCGGCGCTCCTCCAAAACGAGAGCGAACGTGCGCGGTTGAAGGCCAGGCGTAATGAAGTTTATTTATTGATCACCGTGCTAGAAATGGGAAAGACTGGTCTCCTTTCTTAGGAAATATATTTTATATAGCTGGACTCCGAATGAGTGTTTCTCGGTCTCCTCTGATTTAGTGATCTTTTACTTCTATTCAGCATAGTCAGCTTAAGAATACAGGGGGACTCCCCTACTGTATTTAGTGACTTAAAAGTCTGACTTAGTGACCTTAGTGACTAGCCTCAAAATCTTTACAAAATAAGGATAATGAAATAAGACATCATTTACTGTTGCCGAAAGGCCATGTGGAAATAGGTGTGGTAATGCTTATAAAAATATTTCGATAACTAAAAGAATACCGCTGTAATAAAGTGATGCAATAAAGTGTTACAACTTTTAGTGTTTCTTTTTAAACCCTAAATATCTTTGACTTCTGTTTGAATTGAATATGTTCTTCTATCTAATCATAAATATTTTAGAAGTAGTCAACACCAGACGAAACAGTCTTATTTTGAGAAAAAGGAAAAGTAAACCCAAGAACAGACAATTTGTCTAGAGTCCTGGATAAATCAGTCAGAACTACATTATAACTCCTGACTCTTGTCTAAGGCTTTTAGCCTTACCTGGAAGTAAGAAAATGTATAGGCTACTCATAGAAGCCACGTTTAATTTGTCATTCAAGGAGTCACTGCTTAGGTATCAGAATGAAAAATAATTGCTTTATCATGACTAACAAGTATTTATCTGCAAACATTTGGAATGTCATGTCTACAGAGAATACAAAAAACGAAAAGCATCATGACACTTGACCTTAAAAGACTTACAAAGTACTCCAGGGATCTACCTATAAACACATGAAAAATTACCAACAGAAGTTAACAGCTCAAGGGCCAGGGAGATAGCTCAGCTGCATAAGTGCCTGCCTGGCAAGCATAAGGTCCTGAGTTCAAGCCCTGGTACCAAAAAAAAAAAAAAAAAAAAAAAGCTCAGGAAAACTACAACTCCTTGGAACACTGAGGAAAAGAAGTTCTGGATAATAGCCTATTTAATCTTACTAAAAACATTTTTTTAATGTAATTATCTTGATGTAATTGCACGTTTTTCCTAGTTTTTTTTTAAAAATAGCGATTTTTAAAAATATCAATAAAGTGTTACAACTTTTAGTGTTTCTTCTTTTTTTTAATAAAAATTTTTTTAATTAATTTATTTATTCATGTGTGTGTGTGGCCAGCTCAGCCCACCAGGGGGCGGGGCTGGCTGGCATGTGGTGCTGGGGGATTGAACCGCAGTGCCTGTGCTTTGCTAAGCTTGTTCTAAGTAGGTGCTTTAGACCACTGAGCCATCTCACCAGCCCTAGTGTTCCTTCTTAAACCCTAAATGTCTTTGACTTATGTTTGAATTGAATATTCAAACTCGAAATATTTTTATAAGCATTACCTCACATATTTCCACATGGCCTTTTGGCAAGAGTAAATGATGTCTTATTTCATCCTTATTTTGTAAAGATTTTGAGGCTAGTAAAGTAAAAGGTCACTGAGTCAGACTTGTAAGTCACTAAATACAGTAGGGGAGTCCCCCTATATTCTTAAGCTGACTATGCTGAATAGAAGTAAACCTTCTTTTGAAGACTGATTCTCGTTAATTTGATTTGAGAGATCAGAGCTATGGGTACAAATGGTATAAATGATAGTGTTGAATGAAAATTTATCCCTGTGGAATTAGCTTTCTTGAAAAAGTATATGTTTTCATTTTAGTCATTTACTTTGTCTAAATAATATTAGAAAGAAACTTTCAAATATTTAACTAGTGTAATGATTTTTGTAGTAGGACCTGTTGCAAATCTTTCTCTAAATTCCTTAGATTTTCCTTTTTTCCTTTTCTTTCTTGAAATTTACTTTCCCCAGTCTTCTAGATCCAGAACTATTTGAACTTGGGAATTATAAAAGTTTCTGTGTTGTTTAGAATACAAGGTCAGTTGCTGAAACTTTGTCTCACATGATAAAGCTTTTGTCTCACATGATGATCTGAAAGTCAGTGATCTACAGAACAGGCTAGGGTGGCTCTGCTTCATGAGACCACCCAAGGGCCTCTATTTTTCCATGTCATAGCTCAGCCATCTCAAAGGCAACAAACTTACAAATTGTGGCCCATAGACCACTATAAATCCCTAAGACTCTCAGGGAATCCATAAGATCAAAACTATTTTCAATAATACTGACATTCTTTGTGGGTTTTTTTCTTATGCTGGCCCAATAGATAAAACTGATAATACCTTACCCTAAATCAAGGCATATGTTATATATATATACATATATATATATATATATGTATATATATATATATTTTTTTTTTTTCCTTTTCTTTTCTTTTCTTTTCACAACTATGTATCTAGAGTAAAAATTTTAAATGCCAGCTTGGGCCAGGTGTGAGGTGTGGTGGTGCATGGCTATAATCCCAGCACTCAGGATTTAAAATTTTCATAAACTTTAAAATTTATGTTAACATGGAACAGCTTTACTATAATTTCCAAATGAATGTGTTTTAAAATAGCTGTTTTAACTTATAGTAAATATCAATAGATAGAATTCACAGGAACTAAAGTTCCTTAGGGTCATTGATTTCTGAAGATAAAAGGAGTGTAAGATCCCAAAGTGTAAAAACTGCTGTTAGAAGTTATTCTTCATGGCAGGAGCATTACTCTGAGTTAGAGCTAAGTCTGGGCTTCATAGTGAGCTCCTGGCCAGCCAGAGCTGCATAGTGAGACCCATCTCCTACCTTCTTGCTCCATCCCAAAAATCAGCTTCAAAATCAGCAGAATGTCTTGAAGCAATACAAATTATTTTTATTAGATATTAACCTTTGAGTGCAAGGGTAGGAGGTGCTTCAGCTGCATACTGAAATCGTGGTTATGTGGGAAATCACTGTGTCATTTCTGAGTTCCAAACTGACCTCCCCATTTTTTTCAGTGGAACATCATTTTTACTTAAAACAACTCACAGATAAATTACATGTATTAAGATTTGAGTACTGTTTGGCATGTAGTTTCTTGGAAATGAAAAAGTGGAGCCTGTTACTTCAAGGAGAACAATTATAAATGTTTGTTGCCAATGAAAATATTTGAGCTTTCAAGTGAAAATTGGAAGTTAGGAAAATCTGCCACTGTGAGCTTGACGGTTTCTGCACTTAAAAAAAAAAAAAAAAAGATAAATGATGACAATCACTGATGTGAAGTTATGTCAACATTTGGAAACTCTGCATGTCTCACTGAACTGTATTTTCTAAATACTTCATTGAGGAAGTTACAAATTATGCATAGGTAAAGGACCTATTCAAAGTACAAACAGAACAACAGTCTAGTATAAAAGTATGAAAAAATCATTCATTTTTAGATTTCAGGCTAACCTTGTAGTTAGACCTTGTCTCAAAAAAGAGAAAAGAAAAATAAAGACATAAAATCATTGACTACAAACAAGAGTTTATTGTGGAATAAAGTTTATATTTTTGCTGAGATCCCTGAAATCTTTTTTTTTTTAAAAAAAAACATTTATTTATTTATTTATTTATTTATTGTGTGGCCAGCTCAGCCCACCAGGGGGCAGAGCTGGCTGGCATGTGGTGCTGGGGGATTGAACCGTAATCCCTGTGCTTTGCTAAGCTTGTTCTAAGTAGGTGCTTTAGACCACTGAGCCATCTCGCCAGCCCCCTGAAATCTTTTAGCATCTAAATTTATGTTGATGAGTTTCAAAATAATACACTTTATTCTAAATTCTGGGAGATATAAAATGCTATTAGTATTAAGAGAATCAGCATGAAGAAACATGAGTTCCGAAAAACAACCATAAGTTTATTAATTACATGTTTAATTAATTAATTTTTTCTCTTTTATAATAGTAAAGGCTGTAATCTATAATTGAATCTTATAATTAAGTCTATTGAGGAATGAAAGTATTTCTCATTCATATTTTTCTGTATTATAAAATATTAGATAACAATTATTTTATGCAGTAAGTCCAAGCCACATCTATTTAAAGTTTGGTTTGTTTGTGGTTTTCATTTGGTTAGCAAAGGATGTTATATTTTGTAATTTTATACATATGGGAATATTTTTTTAACTTAGAGTTGCAAAACAAAACATATTAAAGTTGAAAAAAATATTCTTAGACACTTCTTTTAAAAGTAAGTTCTTTATGTTTTTCCCCCCTCCTTGTTTAGGTCAGAGTTGGAAATTGCAATACTCCTAAACCAAGCTTCTTTGATTTTGAAGGAAAGCAAAAATGGTAAGAAACTCTTTGAATCCATTTGTTTGCTTGTTTTTGTAGTAGTGGTGTCCTGAATCTTTGCACTGAGCCACATCTTCAGCCGCTTTAAAATTCTTTTTCAATTTTGAGAGTCTTGCTAAGCTGTCCAGGCGGACTAATACTTGCCATCTTCCTGCCTTAGCCTCCCTGAGTGCTGGGTGTGTGCCACACACCTAGATCATTCTTGGGATCTTTAAGAATGTTGTTGGAAATGATTTAGGTGTTTAGGAATTAGAAAGTAGAAAGCAGATTAAAGAATTATTTCTATGTTAATCCTTCTGTTGTAGACTTTGCTAAGGTTAGGCATTTAGGGGAAGGATTAAAAGAATTTGCTTTTAGCTAATCTCCTAAAAGGTTCTTACACAGTGATGGTGGTATCTAAGTAGGTCACAGTAGACTACATTCTTTACATAGGAATATGTATGAGGGTACCTGTTAGAACTATTGCTTAAGATTTTTTCTTTCATATCATATAGGCCCTAGTGGGTCACCATTTTCCCCATCTTGAGTCATCTTTGAAAGCTAGCCAAGAAAATGAAAGGGAAAAACAGGATAAACCCCCATTTTCTACTCTTTCCCCCGTGTCCATTTTATCTCCTTTCCAAATAGTCTTTGTCCTTTGCTTCATCCATACCACAAGTCAAAGCTTATAATAATTTCTTGGGAAGAAGGGAGAAAAAGTCCCCATATAAGATACTGACTCACTCTACTTCTCTGGATACATGAAGAGGGTTATAGTCACATAAGTTCTTAAAATTTTATATTGAGAGGTACCCTTGTATTTATCAGGTCTGTCTTAAATCACTTCATCACTGGAACAAAATACCTGATACCCAGAATTTAAGAAGCTTATTTTGGTTCACATTTTGGAACTTTTAGTCCTTGCATGATCACCTGGCTGCAGGTAGAAGCAGTGTTTCAGTTACTTTTTTCATTGCTGAAGCAGACTAGCCAATGCCCAAAGTTAAAGAAAGAAAAGTTTATTTCAGGTCACAGTTTTGAAGGAAGTTAGTTGTCTTTTATCCTAATATAATGTTTTTTAAAATTTAAACATTCACCATATTTTTTTGATTAGATTATACTCTGTGTATGATTGGAAATTCCTACCTTTTTTTTTTTTTTTGAGACAGGTTTTTGCTATGTAGCTCAGGGTCAGGCTGGCCTTGAACTCATGATGTAGCCCAGGCTGACTTCAAATGCTCATGTTCCTCCTGCCTCAGCCTCCCAAGTGCTGGGAGTCCAGATGTGCACCACTATGCCTGAGACCTACCATCTTACTCATTTGTAATTTTTGTTTTGCCCTTGCTACCCCTCATTTTTGAAGTCCCTACTGAGGCCTCAAGATGGGTTATTTTGAATCTGATGGAAAAACACGTTTAAATTTTGAAAAGTATTTGTTGTATAAAAGACACATTGATATTAATTCCTCTCAAAATCCTTCCTCTTAACTTTGAACCATATCCCCTTATTTTTGCTACTTCTTGAAGAAGTTCTGAAAGTCCATTATCATGAGTCTTTTTTTGCCCTGTCATGGTTGCCTTGATGTCCTAAATTCAAAACTTATTCCCTGCATGCTCATTTTAAACTTGGGGAAGAACCAGAAGGTAGTTGAGGATGTACTATGTTGTTTTTAGAAGCTTGGCTTTTGGTTGGCTGGCACTTGGCAGCAGCATTTGCCATAATTTTTGTCATCCCTTGTAAAGACGCAAAAGAGGACTTCCAGAATTGCTTCAAAAAGTAGCAAGAATGATTAAATAAGTCTGTTCCAAATAACAGGAAGTATTTTGAGGGGGAATAATGCCAATTTATCTTTTACTGTAGTACATCTTATTTAAGTGTTTACAATTTTGCTCACACTCTGTAGTTCATAGATAAAATAAGAACAGAAGGGGAAGGTATTTTTCTAGAATCTGTAGTAATAAATTTGACATACTTTTCTCCAGGGAATATTGTTTCTTGTGTGATGATTGGTTTCTGTACTTCACAATGCCAGCAACACAGTTAATTTATAACATGGGAGCTATTTTTATTGTTCTGTAGACCATAGGTACAAGTTGTCATTAGGGGTGAAACCTAGGTTTAGGGGACTGATTAAAGTCTTAGGTTAAAAAAAAAAGTCTTAGGTTACAGTGACTGTGATCTTCCAAAATTCATGGATATGCAGTGTATCTGCTATTAGAGGGGACAATTACGAAAGAAATTTCCCAAAAGGCATGTTAAGTGGAATGAAGTTTGTAAAATTATAGGTCAACATAAATGCAAGCAGGGCTCTTCCTTTCTACATAGCTTATTATTTATGTCCTCAACCCCTTAAAATGTGTATGTAATTTTTAATAATAAAAAGTATGTTCCATTATTTACATAGTTAATGACAGCCATTTTAAATATTCTATACTGTAGGGAAGCATGGAAAGCACTTGGTGATTCAAGCCCCACCCAAGCAATGCAAGAATATATCGCAGTAGTTAAAAAATTAGACCCAGGTTGGAATCCTCAGGTAAGATTTAATGATTATATGTAATACTTTTCCCAAACTTACCTTTTTCTTAAATGCTTAATTCCAAACTTTACCTTAAATAACATGCTTTAAATTTTCTTCCTCAGAAGACTATAAAGTTATGTCAATGTTTATATGAGAATACTATTGTCTAAATATTAACATAAACAGATGTTAATACTGTTAGAATCTCTCTGAATATAGTTTCAATCATGTGAGAGCTTAATTCATTTCAGAATTTAAAAGAGTTTATCTTGGGATCATTGTTATCTTGGGAAAGGGAAAATTTTCCAAAGATATTTTTTCTGAGCACCTTCGGCTCAAAATGTTTATTGATATGGGTAAAAATAAAGATGACATTATTTGTCATATAGTGTAAATTATACTAGAGAAGATACAGCATACAGATATGTTTAATGATCTAACATAAAGTAAAAGCTAGGAAACCTAGTGGAATAAAATTCCTTTGGAGGCATTGGATATTCTTCACCTCTATAGTCTGCTATATTTTAAAAACTTCTCTGATAGGCATTATATAACATAGAGATTGCTCTGTAATGAATGCAAATGCAAACTAATTGTTTTCAACCAAGATATTTATTTATTCTTTGCGGTACCGGGGATTGAACTAAGGATCCTGCACTTGACAGGCAAGCACTCTATCTCTTCGGCCCCATTCAACCAAGATATTTAGCCCAAACTTCTTAGTAGTGAATTCAGTAATTTTCAATATTTTAGCAATAATTAAATTATTTCGAGTTCGATCGGTAGCGGGAAGGGAGAGGGGACCCCAGACAGCCCTGAGCAGCCCCACCCCCGCCGCCGGCCTAGTTACCAGTCACACACCGGGAGCAGCCGCAGCTGCCGCAGCCGGCCCCAGTCACCATCACCGCAACCATGAGCAGCGAGGCCGAGACCCAGCAGCCGCCCGCCGCCCCTCCTGCCCTTAGCGCTGCCAGCGCCAAGCCCGGCACCACGGGCAACAGCGCAGGGACCGGTGGCCGGCGGCCTCTCATCAGCGGCGCCTGGCCTGCCCTTGAGGACAAGAAGGTCATCACAAGGAAGGTTTTGGGAACAGTAAAATGGTTTAATGGAAGAAACGGATATGGCTTCATCAACAGGAATGACACCAAGGAAGATGTATTTGTACACCAGACTGCCGTAAAGAAGAATAACCCCAGGAAGTACCTTCGCAGTGTAGGAGATGGAGAGACTGCGGAGTTTGATGTTGTTGGAGAAAAGGGTGCGGAGGCAGCAAATGTTACAGGCCCTGGTGGAGTTCCAGTTCAAGGCGTAAATAGGCAGCAGACCATAACCATTATAGACGCTATCCACGTGGTAGGGGTCCTCCACGCAATTACCAGCAGAATTACCAGAATAGTGAGAGTGGGGAAAAGAATGAGGGATTGGAGAGCGCTGAAGGCCTGGCCCAACCACGCCGGCCCTACCGCGGGCTAAGATGCCCACCTCACTGCATGCGGAGACCCCGTGGGCATCGACCACAGTACCCCAACCCTCCTGTGCAAGGAGAAGTGATGGAGGGTGCTGACAACCAGGATGCAGGAGAACAAGGTAGACGAGTGAGATAGAATATGGATCGAGGTTATAGACAACAATACTGCAGGGGCCCTCCTCGCCAAAGACAGCCGAGAGAGGATGACAATGAGGAAGATAAGGATAATCAAAGAGATGAGACCCAAGGTCAGCAGCCACCTCAACGTCCCATCGCAACTTCAATTACTGATGCAGATGCCCAGAAAACCCTAAACCTCAAGATGGCAAAGAAACAAAAGCAGCCGATCCACAGCTGAGAATTCATCCGCTCCCCAGGCTGAGCAGGTCGGGGCTGAGTAAACGCTGGCTTGACATCTCTACCATCATCCGGTTTAGTCATCCAGCAAGAAAGAAAAGAATAGGAAATTCCAGCAATAAGAAATGAACAAAAGATTGGAACTGAAGACCTTAAGTGCTTGCTTTTTGCCCGTTGACCAGATAACTAGAACTATCTGCATTACCTATGCAGCATGGGGTTTTTATTATTTTTACCTAAAGACCTCTTTTTGGTGATGACAAACGTGTTTTTTAAAAAAGCCTGGTTTTTCTTAATACACCTTTAAAGGTTTTTAAATTGTTTCATATCTGGTCAAGTTGAGATTTTTAAGAACTTCATTTTTAATATGTAATAAAAGTTTACAACTTGATTTTTTCAAAAAAGTCAACAAACTGCAAACACCTGTTAATAAAGGTCTTAAATAATTAAAAAATAATTAAATTATTTCATGGATACATAGTTGTAAATATAAAGATAGTTTTACTTTTCTTTTTTCTTTTTTCTTTTGGAAGTACTAGGAATTGAACCCCAATACTCTCTGCATCTCCAGACCTTTATTCTTTTTTTGAGACAGTCTTACTAAGTTTCCCAGGCTGGTCTTGAACTTACAATCCTCCTTCAACCTACCAAGCAGCTATGATTATAGATTTGTATCATAGCTTGCCCTAGAAATTTTGTTTCATCAGTCTTGGAATTTTAAAATCTCATGGTTGTTAGGAGCCTTAAAAATATGTATTATGAGGGCAGCCCAGATAGCTCAGCAGATTAAAGCACCTGCTTAGGCAGATGCAGGGACTGGGGTTCAATGCCAGGTGTGCCATGCCAGCCCCACTCCCTGGGGCATGCTGAGATGGAACCTGAGACTGGACTTGGTGGCATGTCTGTAATCCTATAATCCCATAATCCCAGTGTTTGGGAGGCTGAAAACAGGAGGATCACTAGAAGTCCTATCAGTGTAGTGAGACCCTGTACTAAATATATATATAGAGAAAAAAAAGTGTTATGATATGTTCAAGTTTGTCTTAAGAATACAAAAAAGGAGAGATAGTTAAACTAAGATATAATTATTTTAATTATTTAGTTATATGACTGCCTTTTGGAATTCAGTGAAGAATCTCATGTTTTTGATGTGCATGAGTATGTGTGTCTTAGTCGCTTTTCAACACCTGCCACCCACAAATTAAAGCAGAGCTAATTTGGCCCATAGTTTCAGAGGTTGCAGTCCATGGATGGTGGGCTCAAATGCAGAAGAATCATGATGGAAGGGCCTGATGCGCAGAGAAAAGCTGCTCAGGTCATGATGGCCAGGAAGTGGAGAGCACAAAGGGAGGATCCAAGGAGGGAGACCTTCCTTTCCGGGTCATGATCCCAGTGAACCTCCTCTAACCAAGCCTGACCCACTAGCAAGTATAGTCTCCTTCCAAACCCATGAGGCTTTTGAGGGCTACCCCAGATCTAAACCATAATAGTTCATTTTCAGAAAATTTTCCTTTTATTATCTGTTACAAGATATTATGTATTCATCTAAGTGTGTATCATAAAAGTCAGAAGGGCTTCATATCTGAAATTCAAAGATCAAAAAAGATGTCCTTTTAGCTAAACTGAGACTGAACAAATGGAGTTCAGTGTTTTTTAAAAAATGAAATAAAAGGGGCTGGGGAGATAGCTCAGTAGAATAAGCGCTTGCCTGGCAAGCGTAAGGGCCTGAGTTCAGTCCCCAGTTCCGCAAAAAAAAAAAAAAAAAAAAAAAGAAATAAAACTTAAATGTGACTGCCTTTAGGTAGGGTACTTTTCAGGTTTATGCATGTGGCATCAATTCTTCCCTGTTGATTTATATTTGGCTGTTTCTGATGCCTTCCTATAAAGGTATTTCAGTAGATAAATTCTGGTAAATGGCAGGATTTTTTACCTTCAGTATCTTAATTGCTCAGTAAGAATCTATTAACTATTACCCTGTAAATGCTTGGAGATTTCATGTGGTTAGGTAATTTTTTCATGTGTAACTTCAAATAGATGTTAAGGATGCTTTTAAAAAATACCTAAATCTCAGCTGAGTGTGGTGGTGCATGCCTGTAATCAGCACGTGGGAGGGAGGAAACCAGTCTGGGCTACATAGTGAGTTCAATGCCAGCCTGAATTATATAGCAAGATGCTGTCTCAAAAAATCAAAACAGAGAAAAATAATATAAAATCTAAATCTTATCTGTGGAATATACACATTCTAAACCAAGCAGAACCAAAGTACTTTCACATTCACTAATGAATTATTTAATACATTAAATTTATTTGAATTTTTTAATGTGTTTTAGTACAGGGACTACAGGGTCTCACTACACAGATTGGACTCACAGTGATCCTCCTGTTTTCAGCCTTCCAAGCACTGGGATGACGGGCATGTGCTACCATACCCAGTCTCAGTCACCATCTCAGCTTGTCCCAGGGTCAGGGCAGGCACAACACATTGGAGAGCGAACCCTGGTCCCTGCGCCTGTTAAATAATAAATTTAAAATTTTAATATTTAATATATTACATTATATAAAACATTCTTTAATACAGTATTCTAAAAATATTGTAACATTGGAATCTAATTGTAAAGAGGAATTCGTGAGCTGGTTCTCTTGGCTAGTTCCCTCCCACTTTGCCTCAGCCTCCCAAGTGCTAGCATTACAGGTGTTCACCAAACACCCAGGTATTTTTCTTTCTTGCCTGTGATATTTTTTAAGATGGTGAACATTTTAGAGCTTTTAACTGTACACACAGCCACCATAGCACACATGCTATAGGTTCATCACTACTGATGTAGGCCATTTGTTTTGCGAAGAAAACCTCATTTTGGGTTTGCTTTTTACTGCCTTATAATTAGATCAAGGTATGCATTTTTAGGAGGAATACCGCAGTGCATCACACCAAGAAGTACAAATCTGTTTGTCCCAGTGTTTTTTTGTTTTTTTTTTTTGTGGAGCTGGGGATTGAACTCAGACCCTTGCACTTGCCAGGGAAGCGCTTATTCTACTGAGCCATGTCCCCAGCCCCTGTCCCAGTGTTGATGATCTTAACTTTAACCACTTGGTTAGTGGTGGTATCTGCCAGGTTTCTCTATTTAAAAGTTCCTGCTTTTGGCTCAGAATTTGAAAAGTAATTTGTAAAAAGATAGATTATGTTTTTTTT